GAGAGAATCCAATTGATATTGTTTCAGCAACATGTCCCCCATTACTCCTCCCTTACTCCACACCTATAGGAAGGAAGGCACAGCCCCTGGTCACTGAATAGAGTGAGATAGAAAAAGATTCATCGAAGGGAAATCTGAGTGCTATTAGGAAAGGGTAAATAGATGCTGGACAGCCAATATACCATAAATGTCCATAAGTACTTGGTAAATAAAATTTTGAAAGGGCCTGAAGCAAATTCAAATAATATTTTGCTTCAGAACCACAATCTGGTTTCAAGTCTTAGACTCCTAAAGCTAGGAAACAGCTTGGGATCTGATATTTTCAACTTCTGATTACTGCTCATGTTGGATTGGAAAATGCAGGTTCCTAGGGGTCATGTGGTGTCTAACAACAACTATTTATTTATTGTTTACTATATGTCAGACACTGTGACAAGTACATTGCAGATATATCATTCATTTAATCTTCCTGATATCAATATGGTGTATATATATTATTGCCTCATTTTACAGATGAGCTGAGGTGCAGACTATTTAAAAAGCTTGCATAAGGAAGGAATATAGAAGAAAGCCAAAAAGTGGCATAATCCTTAGTACAGCAGAAGTAGAATGAGAACTAAACAGAAGTGAGAATTTAAACTAAAGTATCCTCTCACATCAATTTTAATTTTTATTGACCCTGTGATCTTATTCAGACAGATATGGCACTGATACTACAATAGGCATAGGTAGGAGAATGAAGACATGTCAGGAATTTAGCAGTACTAGTTGGTGAAGAAAGGGATGACATTAACGCCAAGCATAACCAAGCATGACCGAGACTAAAGAAACAATCAGAGAGGCTGATGCCCACAAGGTAGGCCCTTGTTCACTGTCCACAGAGTACATGAAATTCAGACATGGCATAGACAAGCTGTGGCACCAGTGCAGTCCTATTCAGCAGAAGGATATAGTAATGTAGTAATCCTAGTCAGTGGGTGATGTTTGAAGAAGTTCAGTAGCTTGAGGGTAATGTATCATAACAGTATCCTGCCCCATGAACTAGGATCTAGTCAGAACTGGGACTAGTGAAAAATTTTCCAAACCAAGCTTAAACTTTCACATTAGATGGGAGCTTAGGAATTGATATAGTTTCAATTATGAAAGAAAAGCAAAGGAGAAGTCCAGTGCTATAGACTGGGAAAATATCAGGGATATAGGGGAGTGGCACAGCTTGAAGTCTACCTGTAATCCAGCACTCTTACTTGGCATTCTACATCTTCAGAGGGCTACATGGTTCTTATGCGTGGGAGCTGTTGAGACATTTAGTCTTGCTCAGATTTCGTTCATGATCTAGGAAGGACTCTTGAGGTAGAAATATGAAGATATAACCACGGGGAGCAAAAGAAGACAAGAAGAGGGAAAATGGAACAGGGACTAATTATTATGACCATCTCCAAACTTTAGATTCATATATTACTCAGAATTCAAGCTGTTCTTGAAACCATTACAAGAAAATCACAGCTTTAGCTAACTCTTTTCCATTTATCACGAAACAACATTCTTTGGATAGCCAAACTTACTTAAAAACTGCCAGAATTCAGGTCTGCTAATGGATAAAAACAAAAATTAAATTGCCTAGCTAGAGATTTAGTCACTCTTTTTGGCAAGACACTGTTACATTTTTATGCTGTTTTAGCTTTTCCCTATGGAGCGTTTTCTTTATGGAAGTTCTCTCTTAAGAATGTATTCTCTTCTCCATGAGATTTTAACATGGTCTAAAAGTTGTCTTCTCTTATTAATATCCTGTCTAGCCTTTACCTTTAATTTATAGATGATATACTCTCTGCATGGAAAATACTCCTTTGAGGAGTGCTATGAACTGAATTTTGTCTCTCCAAAGTTCATATGTTGAATCCCTAACCCCGAATGTGATGGAATTTGCAGATGGGGCGTTTGGCAGGTAATTAGGTTTAGATGAGGTCATGAAGGCGGGGCCTTCTATAGGATTAACATGAGGAAGGGAGAGAGATCACCCTCTTTCTCCATGCCCATACATCGAGGAAAGGCCATGTGAGGACGCAGGGAGAAGGTGCCAATCCAAAAGTCAGGAAGAAAGATTTCGCCAGACTTTGACCATGCTGATATCCTGACCTCAGACTTTCAGCTTCCAGAACTGTGAGAAAATGAATTTGTATTGCTTAAGTTACTCAGTCTGCAATACTTTGTTATGGCAACCCGAGCTAACACAAGGAATCCTGAAAATGTGATTTTATTAAACATTTCTGAAGATCAATATTATAATATGCAATAAAGTCTCTCAGAAAAGTTTTGTGATTCTTGTCCATTTATTTTGCCACCTACCAAATACTTCAAACCATCCTTCTAAGGATGGTATAAAACAGTGTCTTGACTCTTTCGAGCTGTACTCATGTAACAATCTGAAATAAAGGTTGCTAAGCAATAGCTTCCCCAAAACCTGCTATAGCTGCTTTCTCCCAGAATCCTTCTTCTTCCTCCCCTTGACTGTAGGCTTGATGGGGGAAGAAATTATTCTCCTCGTCGCAGTAAAATATGCTGCTCTGCTCCCAGCCCCTGGCTATTGTTATAGTTCTCCATTTTGCATCCTTCCCTGTTCTACTTCATTGTTTACTTCTTAATTACATCTTTCTTCCAGGTACTTTTCCTTTAAAATAATGTTAAAAAATAAAGAATTAAGTATAATTTGGTGATGCCTCAGGCCTTATTCTGGCAACCAGTTAATCACCATGCCAGGTTTACCATTACAGTTAAGCAAAATATTGGAAAGAAGAAAATGAATGTTTTATCAGTTTTTATTTTGAAAAGTCTTAGTAAATATCTTAATCTCATAATTTCCTGCATAAAACCATAATCAAACTGTTTCGTTTCCATCTTTCTTCCACTTTAAATTTTACTGCTTACAAAGGAGAAAAAATGGCCAGCTTTACATTCCACAAACTACATACCATTCTCTCTCACCAAGCATCTGTAGGACATGTAGACAAAGCTTTTGTCAAAAGAGAATTTGATAAACGCAAGTTTCCAATGTACTATACAATTGTGACAACAGCATCACATGAATTTATGTTATAATCATAATGAAAAATATTAATAGAATATAAATACCTGAAGAGTGGTAATGCCAGGAAATGTGAGGTGACACAACAAATAAACTGTATTTGATTTGTAACATAGCAGAGTGAAAAGTATAATCTGGCTGCTTAGGTTGGAACATCATGCTATAAGATAAAGAGTTTTGCTTGCAATGCCTGTGGTTTGGCTTTTCCTTCATTAATATAAGCTGTTTCACATTGCCGATTTTTCATATATACATAAATTTTTTTTTTTTTTTTTTTTTTAGACTGAGTCTCACTCTGTCGCCCAGGCTAGAGTGCAGTGGCGCTATCTCCACTTATTGCAACCTCCGCCTCCCAGGTTCAACTGGTTCTCCTGCCTCAAGTCTCCTGAGAGTAGCTGGGATTAGAGGTGCATGCTACCACACCTGGCTAATTTTTGTATTTTTAGTAGAGATGGGGTTTTGCCACATTGGCCAGGCTGGTCTCTAACTCCTGACTTCAGGTGATCCACCCACCTTGGCTTCCCAAAGCAATTTGTTTTATAAGTTAATAGAATGACCTGAAAATGTCATTGCCTCCTACCTGGGTTACTTGTCTTTTTTTTTTTTTTTTTTTTTGAGAAAAGGTCCTACTATGCGGCCCAGGCTGGCCTTAGACTCCTGGGATCAAGGGATCCTACTGCCTCAAGTCTCCCAAGTTGCTGGGACTATAGGCATTCACCACTACACCAGGCTTTGTCAATTTTAATCTATAGGAGTTTATGGGCCAAATTTTAACCAAATTCTTCACTGCAGTGTTAAAAATGTAAACACTTATTCCCATCCATTTCTAATATAATTTAATAAATACCAGTCAAGTGAAACAGCAGGAGGGGAGAAGGAACAAAGAAATCTGTAACTGGCTGTGATTAATTCGTTTTAAGTACCACTGTACTTACTTAGACCAGCTCATTTTTAATTTAAAAATGTGATTTGATCATATATTTATATACTTGACTTTCTCAACCATTTATGAAAACTTAGAAAGGTAGATGTTCTTTATCAAAACTGAGTTTTTTGAGGTAGAGAGAATAAAAAGGTTTGTTGGGAGTTGAGGACAATATTTAGTTTCCTGTGTTGCAGACACTTCTACTGAGTGAGATGTCAACTTTGTTTCTTGTCTAGCAGGGGGTCCTGGGAGAGATCAGAAATCCTGGGATATGTCATCTGCTTAGGCAAGTCATTCACAATTCTGAGCATGCATACATCTTAGCTGCTTTTGAGTCTCCTACAGAATGACGGTGTAGTAAGTATGGAGCAGAGCTCTTAACACTACCCTTCGAAGACTGGTGATGCTAGTCACTTCTTAACTTCCAGTTTGGAGAAGAAAGTGAGAAGGGAGGTTTTTTTTTGTTTTGTTTTGTTTGTTTGTTTTTTTAAAAGGCACTGTTGGCCGGGCGCGGTGGCTCACGCCTGTAATTCCAGCACTTTGGGAGGCCAAGGCGGGCGGATCACGAGGTCAGGAGAACGAGACCATCCTGGCTAACACGGTGAAACCCCGTCTCTACTAAAAATGCAAAAAATTAGCCAGGCGTGGCGGCGGGCGCCTGTAGTCCCAGCTACTTGGGAGGCTGAAGCAGGAGAATGGCATGAACCCGGGAGGCGGAGCTTGCAGTGAGTCGAGATCGCGCCCTGCACTCCTGGGCGACTGAGCGAGAGACTCCGTCCCAAAAAAAAAAAAAAAAAAAAAAAAAAAAGGCACTGTTGTATTACAAACCAAAATCAAAAACAGATTTCCATACTAACTACCCCTCCAAAGGTAACGCATTAGGTATACCATTAACCTGGCAAAGTAGGGAGGAAAATGAAGGAGTGCATTTGTTTCATTAGAGGCATTTCGTTTTGAGAGGTGGACAGGAGAGCTATACACAAGACTCAAGTTTCTTGATACAGTAAGTACATCAAGAATATAAACGTGTTTGATAAAATGAACATTTTTAAAACATGGCACCAGGCTATGATTCTTCTTCCTGCACACCTTCATGCCTAACTTTTTGAAAGGACTTGAGACATATGAATCACAATTTTAAAAAATTATAGTTTCAATGCCTTCGTGGTGGATCAATTTCCATAGAAGTCTACCAAAATGACTTATCTTCATCCCAGGGAACCAACTGCAAGAGGGAAAATGAAAGGAATGTCATATTCTTTCTATGTAGGCAGTGGACTTGAGTGAAGGTCAGAAACACTGATTTCAGTTTGTGCACTACAACCTGATGACTTGGGTGATGTTTGGCTTCTCAGAACTTTGGGAGACGAATTTGAAAAACAGATAATACCACACTATATAATTCAGAGGATTACCTCAGCTTACAAACAGCAAATGAGATGCAAATGTGAGACATAATTCATATTTCTAAGCAGTTGGAGCCCTGATATAGCACTGGGGTTATAGAGAAGTTGGGGAAAACGTCAACCCAGTGATGTCATACTCCTAGGCCGGGCCCTAAGATTTTTTGGAACCTGGCGGGCTGAGCACAATAGGGAAAGCCTCAGCACCCTGACTTGGCACAATGGCACCCTTAAGGCTCTTTGCTCACTCAATTCTTAGCAGCTCTCCTAAAGCACGGGGGCGTTTTCTTCCAGTTCTCTGTGTAGACTTTGCTATGCCTCTCCGCCCACTGCCTCATCCAGAGAAACACTCGTATCCACCACCGCTCCTCACTTTCTCTCACGCACGGCTCTAGGAAGACGAGGAGAGGGCGCGGCGTAGGCTTTATATACCTTGCCAGCCAATGACCGCGCCGTCTCTTTTCCGGTCGGCGATCCGACCAATCCAAGAAGGCTGGTGCAATCTTCGGCTCTACTCGGCTCTTTTCGCTGATGCGGGCAGCTTGGGGGCCGCGGCAGCTAGAGAGACGCTTTCCTTTTTAATTTTTTTTCCATGTGTTCACTTCCGGGTCCGGCGTCGATCCGGATGCCCGAGGCAGAAGGATGTTTGACCTCCGGATAAGCGAGGCGCCGCTGTGCATTCATTCCCAGCTGCATCGGTGGCGACAGCAGAGGCTCGGGCGGCGACTCTCCGGCCAGCGGCGGCGGTAGGAGACACCAGCGGCAGTGCAAGGACCGAATCCGAGCAGCGCTGCGTTACCTCGCTCGCTCCTTCCCCCCTACCTCGCTCGCTCGCTCCCTGCGTGGCTCGCTTTCCTCCTCCGGCCGCCGGCGGGTGTGATGTGCCGCCGTCGCTGCCCCCGCCGGCGCTGACTGACTGACTGGGGGCGCCGCCCGCGCCCGGGACCGACCCCGCTGCTCGCGGCCGCGCCTCTGAGGTAAAGCCCCCTGCGCGTTGGTGCTCGGCCGCCAGCCCCGGCCCGGTGGCTGCCTCGGCGCGGCCGCGGCGCCCTCCCTCCCGGATGGGGCTGGGGTCTCGGGCGGGGTGGGGTGGGGTGCGGCGGGGGCGGCGCCGCCGGCGCGGGTGTCGGGGGAGGGGTGGGCGAAGACCAGGGCGGGCGGCCAGGAGGCGTGGGCCGGAGGGGCCCGCGGTCCGAGGCTGAGGGCGCGGAGGGCTAGGGGGCAGCGGGGGCCGCGGGTGGCGGGCCGGGCTGGGTGCAAAAGTTGCCGGAGTGGTGCGGCGCGACTGGGGCGGCGAGGGAGGTGGGCCAGCTGGCCCGGCGGGGGCTTCCTTAGAAGAGATTGGGAGGTGGGGAGTGTCGCCCACGGTGCTCCTTGACTGTGTCCCGACAATTACCTTTGGAGTAGGGGCTTTGGGCAGGAAGGAGGCATGTATCGGCTGGGAGGAGGCGACAGGGGCCAGCGTTCAGTTCAGGGATAAACTTCCCGTTGGAGTGTTTAAGGGGTTGGGTGGGGGAACACAGGGATTTACCTGTTTCTTAGAGCTTTGACTCAACTAAAAACTTAACTAAGACATTAGTCAAAGGTTAACATAATCACTCTGATGGTTACTCTCATGGTGCCGGTTTGTTTATCCCACATGCAGGGGAAGTGACTCTGAGAGGCGTCGGGTCTCTTGGTCCATAGCCTCCACATTTCTTTTCAGCAGGATGAGAGGAGGGAGATGTGTGTCTATTCGTGGGGTGGGGGTAGTTAGGCCTGTGTCATGGTCATTCCCCTTCTCCCACCTCATGTTTCAGGGAGGAAAAGTTCAGATGGGGGAGAGAGAGAGTGTGCCTGTGTGTGTGGGAGACAGCTACTGTTGATACACTGTGTGAATTACTTTTAACTCTTTTGTGCTAATCACCCAGGCTGCTCAGTGGCCCCTTTTAAATCTTCTGCTAAAATATCTACTTTAAATTAGAGAATTATATAAGTACTTATTTTTAATGAATTAAGAAAGTAAATCATTATTTTAACTTTTGTAATTACTTCTTCCGATTCAAATGACATTTGCCCACAGATATAAGAGATAGCAAACTATATCTAAGATGGGATATAAAATTAAAACTGTATACATTTTAAAGATGTTTCTTTTTAAAGATGTTTCTTCGAGGAATATTGGCTTTCCCCATACATTTAGAAGAAAAACATTACAGGAATTGTGAGAATAATGTGGAATTAGAAAGATGTGAAACTAGAAATCATTTTTCGTCAAAAAAATCAGATCTGGTGTGTGACATTCTTAATAGCTTTCTTTCTTTTTTTTTTTTTGGAGATGTACTTAGTGTATTTTGTAATTATTTACAAACTTTGCTCCAGTTGTATCTTAAGTTAAAATTATCTTATTTTGTATAGTTAACCTTTATAGTTGCACAGAAGATAAAAGATAAAAATTACATTTATGGGCATTGGAAGAAAGATGTTATCAAATACATTGTATGGCTTTGAGATACATTCTTAGCAGAATGTACAGACACTTCTGCTTTATGTGAACTTGCATTTCTGAATATGTATTAAGTAGAAGTAATTATTAGAATGGGGGACAGAAAGGTTAATTTTAATGTTATGAATGACATTTTTGGGGGATCTTGAGAAACTATTATCTTTACTGATGATTTATTGTAGTCATCCACCCCTTCTGCCATTCATCAGCTTAAACATTAGTGCATTACGTAATTATTGACATTTTCATCATTAGATTTTGCAAGCATTTACAATATATTAACAAAATCTTCTGTACGTGAAAGGCATTTATTACTTCCTTGAAAATAAAGGACTGGGATTAGTGGAATCAAGGAATTAATTCAACCAGGACCACCTTTACTGTGTGGCAAGGATGGAACAGTGGGTAGAATATGAAGATGAATGAGACTCAGTACTGCCTTCAAGGGAGAAGCAGACATACACAGAGGTAATTCACAGATTCCTGTGGGTTTTGTTGGAGGTGTATTGGACGCATGGGGTGTGTGTGAGACACTAATTTTTGACTGGGAAATTTTGAATGAATGTAGAGCTGGTAACACTCCATCTGGGCCTTAACATAGTTTAATAGGCAAAATGGGGGCGGAGGGAGTGACGGTGGGGGTAGTTTCCTGGGTGAAGGGAACAGCCTGAGCAAAGGCATGTGATTGTGTTACAGGGCTTGTTGAACTGGACATAAGGCTGTTTTGCCAGGAGGTCTTTGTGGGAGAAGCTATGAAAGTAGCTGGAGATCAGGCCATGGAAGTCCAACTTTGTATTTAAAGATGAGTCAGTTGGAGGCATGAAGGTCCAAATGTACGGAACCTATGCTACAGTAGGTAGGCAAATAAGGATAGTAAGTTTAAGGAAACAAGTTATAACAAAATAGTCAATTTTCTATCATTGGCACTACTGAAGGAAAGCAGAAAAGTATATAATCCAAAACAATCTATACATAGTTTTGTTATATTTATTTATTTACATTTTAATATGAGTGTGTCTGGTAATCTAGTAATTGGTTATACATGAAATCAATCCAGACTGTAAAGATGTGACTCAAGAAGAGAAGCTCTCCAGTTACTTCTCTGTGTCTCCTCTGATCCATCCTGTAATCCCTTTATGCTGGGAGTAGACTTATTCTGGTATAGTTTATTGGTTCAGATGTTTTGCAGAATGGAACAAGTGGTTGTTTTGTTCCAAAGGGCTTCCCAAAAGGATGTATCAAACTAAATAGAAGGAATGCTGAAGTATTAAATAACAAAATATAGGTCATTGAATAGTTACATTATTGTTGATAGTGAGATTTACTGTGGATGAAGTGAAATGTAAAGAGTGTATGTTTTCACAGAAAGTGGTTTTAATGAAGTAATAATAAAGGAATCTGTACGTGAAGAAAATTGACAGTACCAGAGGGATGATAATATGAGACACTTTCACAGTTCCGGATAAATGTGTGTGAAGTTTTTAAGTCATCTTAAATATTAGATGACCCTAAAATAATGTAACCCCACACTTAATCATTATCAAAGGAGTGCTTAGAAAAAAAAAATCAGTTTATAAGTGCATGTAAAATCATGTTACAGGGAAAATTGAAGGTTTTTTTTCCTCCTAATTATTTCCCTCTTAGCTTCCTTAATTATTCCCCTCTTAGTATTCAAAAAGGACTTATAACTGAATTTGAATTTGTGTTCCCTTCAACCTCCCAGTAACAACAACAATACCTCCTATAATTTATTAAGTGCATACTTTGATAGAGGCCATAAATGATACTATTAAGACAACTCTATGAGTTAGGTGGTGTAACCTCATTTTTGAGAGCAGGAAACAGTCTTCTGGAGTTTAAATAATGTGTTGAAGATATATCTTGGAAGTAACAGAGTGAATGTTTGAATCAGTTTATTTTTTTTCTGACTTCAAAGTCTTAATCCACCAATGATCTATTTTTTCTTATTTTCCGTCTTCATCCTTTTTCTGATCTTTTCTCAAGCAGTTGGCAATTAGTGGTATTAATTGATAGTATGTGTCTGAGTGTTGGTTCTTTATGATGTAATTTCTTCAGAAGTGGCAGTTTTGAGGTATCTGTCTTTAATTGTGGGATTCTGTAGGTGCAGACAGTATGGTTCCGGTAATTTAAGGTACCTCAGAGCATCACCTTTTGCTGATCTGCAGGACAGAACTATGCTTGGATTCTTAATGTATAGAAATGAAGTGTGCGTTCTCTATTAATGTGAAATGATTTTCAGGAGCATCTGAACTGCTCAGGAAATATGGAAGGAGAGATAAATATAGAAATGTATAACTTTTAGCGACATAGTGGAGGCTGCTGTTAGACATTTTTTGTTTCTTTTTTTTAAGCTCTCTCTGAAAGCTGAGATTTAGCAACTCTAAATGTTTGGGCTTCCCTTCTATTATGAAACCTAAGGAAAATATGTATTGATTTGTTCTTAGACCATAGTGATTGGTTATACTCTCTCCTGCCGCTTGGTGCTTATCATCTTAGTTATAAGAAATCATTTTTAACAATGAATTGAAGTATTGGGGAGATAAGACATACTTTTTTGGTTGCTTTGTTTACTAATGATATGTTACATAGTTATAATTTATTGAAAATTTATGAGTAAATTATGTCCACATGGCTAAATCATGTCCACATTTTTCATAACTTTTCAATGGAATGAGATAAGATCTGATGATACTCTTTTTCTTAAATGCAAAGTTTAATGTTTTTTTTCTCTAGGGTAGTAATGTGAGGTTGAAGTTGTATTCAAATTTATTACATTTATTTAGATCACTTTGTGTTACCTGGAAGTACTTTCTTTAGCTGATAGCTACATTTGGAAAAAAAGGGAAGAGTTACCCTGTTACTCCGCCATTGTGTTCTTCATCAAAATGGAGGAAATTCATATAAAGTGCCAAGGACTATGTGATGCCTGCCACATAGTAGGCACTGTGTAAATCTTCTGTCCTTCATTTCAGAAGTTGCTGATAAGAATTTTAGAGGGTGGATTGGTGGGTAGACAAGCAAAGACTCTCAGGAACACCCTGTTACAGGAAAATCTCTGTTACCTGACCTCTGCTTAACCCACTCGTGAGATTAAATGATAGTTTTCATTCTCTCTGTAGAATTTGCTGACTGATGCTCATGCTACATTGAGTGTAGCCTATTCTTTAGTTTGATCTTGAACTTTTATTCCCCCCAGTTACTGTATACTTACCAAGAGACGTGTGTTTGTACCCAACACACTGTTATGGCACTTGATGATGTAATCGCATAGTTTAATGAATTATTATTCATTGAACTCCGAAGATAAAAAGGTGTTTGTATGAGAACCAGTTGGCTGCTTTGAAATCAAGTGAATAGCCAAAATCAATTATGGTTGAAATAGATGAGGGTGAAATAATTTTAAATGATCAGGGGAAAAAAAAAACTAATAATCTAAAAAAATCTGCAATAATATTAGTTTTCACATGTTTGTGAAATGTCTTTCTGTGTTTAAGAAACAGAAACTGGAAATCACAGGTGTTGTTTTATGGGGAGTGGTTTTTGCAAGAAAAATGAAATAGAACTTTCATCAATAGACCCACACTTGAAGAAAAGGCCATATCTCTGTATTATAAGATTGTCTTGTGAATGGACATTTTTTGTTTTAGTTGTAATAAAATGTATAGAGTTTGTAGATGTTGAGAAATGATTTCCTTTTTAGGCTAACTTCAGAACCGTTGATTAATTGTAATATATTAAAGAAGTTGTCTGCTTCTAAAACATCATCTTTCCTAGTTTACGCTACTGCTTAGAGATTTATTTAATAACATCCTCTTTAAGGAAAAAAAAAAAAAAGAAAATTCTGGTATTCCCAGAGGTTCATTCCTTAGAGTGAATTGTTTAATTGTCTAGTCAGGTGATCAATCTATGGTTCTCACATATTTCCCAATATGGTCCCTAATCTGATTTCATAAGCTACCTTTCAACTTTTATGTACTGTCAGAGTTGGAGGGGTAAGCCTTCTTATAGTTCCAACATCTCCTCCATCCAAGTAGGAATGCGGAGGTAGAGGAGATTGTTCTTTGGAAGAGGAAATGTGGCACCCTTGATATATACGGGAGCACTTGAGCCTCCTGTCTCGCCTAGCTCAGTCCAAATGGAAAGGAGAACTTTCAGTTGAAGGAGCAGGAAGTCCAGGTTGGAGAAGGAGCGATATGTGTGGTATGCTATTTATTTTGGTGTAACCACATTGCTTGCTGAATTACAGTAGATGCTGAAATGGCACATTGAAGTATGAAGGTAGGGTGGGTGGCTCCAAGCTAGTACTTGAGGGCTCTGGCCTGCCTCTCTGATTTTCTTGGCTCTCTGTCTTCTGTGTGTTGGAGTCATCCTAAGGCCAGCAGCAAGATCACATCTAGACAGGCATTGGCCCGAGGAAGGAATGGATCTCTCTCTCTCTCTCTTTCTGTCTCTGTCTCTGGAAAAGCAAATAAATCTTTTGCATAAGCCTACCAACATACTTTTCTCTTCATATCTTATTGACCAGAATTAGGTCACATGTATGTCCTAACTAGTTATCTCAAGGAAAGTAAGGTTATCATGGTTGGTTTCTACTAATCAGGAGATACCTTCTGCAATTGGTGTTGGGATCACATTTTTCTGAGTTAGATGGAAGAGGGAGGATATTTTTAAAAAATTGTGGGAAGGAAGAATTTGGGGGATATGGATGTAAGAGAGATGATCAATAGTGACCGTTATATCTACCTGTTTTGAAGTGATTCTCGTGCTTCAGTGTCCCAAGTAGCTGGGATTACAGGCGCATGCCACCGCACCCAGCTAATTTTTGTATTTTTAGTATAGATGGGGTTTCTCCATGCTGGCCAGTCTGGTCTCGAACTCCTGGCCTCAAGGGATCTGCCTGCCTTGGCCTCCCAATGTGCTGGGCTTATAGGCGTGAGTCACCGTGGCTGGCCAGTTACTTTTTTTTGTTGTTGTTGAGATGGAGTTTTACTCTTGTCTCCTAGGCTGGCGTGCAATGGTGTGATCTCGGCTCATTGCAACCTCTGCCTCTTGGGTTCAAGTGATTCTCCTGCCTTAGCCTCCTGAGTAGCTGGGATTACAGGCACTCACCACCTTTCCTGGCTAATTGCTGTATTTTTAGTAGAGATGGGGTTTCGCCATGTTGGCCAGGCTGGTCTTGAACTCCTGACCTCAGGTGATCCTCCTGCCTCCATCTCCCAAAGTGCTGGATTACAGGTGTGAGCCACCGCGCCTGGCTGGGTCTGAGTATTTTAGGAGCTAAAAACCCTACTTTATTTTTTCATTGGCTAACTTTGAGTCAATAAAATAGGTGGTTAAGTTGAAAGGTTATAATTTTTTTCCATGAAACTCATGAAGCTATTTAATTTTAAATTAAAAATGTGTTCCTATAAACTCATTTAAAATTTTCTTCTGCATTGTTGCTTTCCTTCCTCACCATAAAGTTGCCCATAGCTTTGATTTCATTGATTACTTTGCTTGTCATGTCTGGGGAGAATAAGTGAGTAGAGGAAATGGGAGTTTCTTGGTCAGAAGGATTTATTTTGAATCCTGGAATACCAGTGAGATTGGAGGAAAGGATGGTTTTTACGTATTTCGAGAGCAGCCAAGTTGGTGAGGGAGTGGGGAGAAGGGAAGAACCGTAGAATTTTAGAATTAAAGTGTATCATAGGAAGATTGAAATGCTCAAGTCACACTCCTGATTAGTAGAACTCTTATCCTAATTACTAGTGTAATACTGTTTCTAAGTAAGAATTAGGAGGCCATAATAATCTTGTCTGCTTTGCAGTTTTGCTCAGGACTATGGGCTACCACTGT